CCATCATAAACTGAAAATGATTTCTTATAGCAGTTACCATTGAAGTGCCAGGTTTATTTTTAAACGGTGTATTGCTGACCAGAATGTCTAACTAATGCTGCCCTAGAGGGGTAAGGGGATGTTTAAGGGAATATATATATATATATATATATTATCTGTATACATATATTAGAGGGAGAAATGGAGAGTAAGATTTACAAAGTGAACAACTTTAGAAAAATAGGTCATAGAGGTGACCCTGTTTGTTTTGGTCAGCCGGGTCTCTGACACATGTGGAAACCCATCACCAGGTTTAAATATTGGGCCATTTGGCATCACTCAACACAGAATCTGTCTGTTTCTATTAGTACCTTGATATCTTGGGGATTTCTTCCTTAATTCAATTCCTCACCAGAGTTTGTTTATTCACGAGCAGTAAAAGCCTCGCCTCGCCGGGCTAGTAATGTTGGGTCTGATCTGGACATTAATAACATGGTTCAGTACAACTGCTGGAAATGTGAAGTAAAGAACAGATACAAAACAAATACTGGAAAAGTGCAATCAGTGAAGTCGCTCGGCTTGTGAGAAAGAACAGGGAAATGTTTGTGATTGTAAAGGAAGATTCCCTGTGTATAATAGGGGGCAACAACGACAGATTACATGCGTATAGCGCCTTTCACTTCAGGAGGACGGCCCGAGGTGTGGACAGTCAGGGATCCGCATCCCAACATGAGAACCAGACACCAACATCTACTAAAGCGTGGACATGGATCAGATCAAACGGCACCTAATATACTGGTGATGTTTGGTGTTTAATTGACTCGTGGAGCTTCAGATTTTGCTTACGAATTCCGACTGCTCTGAAGGGAGTTTGGGGGGGGAAGGGGGGAGAGAGAGAGAGAGAGAGAGAGGAGGGTGTGTGTGTGTGTGGGGGGGGGGGGGGGGGGGGGAGAGGGGGATGGGGGGTGTCTTGTCCCCTGTGCCCAAAGGGACACGTGGGATCAGAGAAGTGAGTTTCCAACAGGTTTACAAGAATCTCAGACTAGGAATATATAACCCAAAGTGAGTGGAAAATCTGCAGTATGTCTGACGGATAGAGCCCGCAAGCGCTCTGGGACGCTGTCCTGCGTGAGGTGCGCTATATAGTTGTCGATGATGTTGTAATCTACACCCAACCGAATAAGACAAACAAAAGAGAAACCGCACAGACCAGTGGAGTAAGACGAAGGCAAGTCGGAGTGTGAATATTTTCAATACATGATAGGTATGTGAGGAATGGCTATTTCTCCCCGTTTGAGTTGAGCTTTCTGCACTCTACTTCCCCATCGTAACATCAAAGAGAAGACAGATTTCTGTAGGTATTCTGTGAGATCACCCCATCGGCACATTATCTTCATACACATAATAATTTGCACAGCACACCCCTCAAATGGTTAAACCTTGGCTGGCTGACCAGTCCAGTTGAACACTGAAAATAGAGGGGAAACCCGTATCTCTTTTACCTGGGTCTTATAGGACAGATGATGATGATGATAGATAATAATAATAATAATCCTTGCATGTGGTATAGCACCTAATCACGTCGTTGGGATGTCTCAAAGCGCTTCACAGAATATACTGTGAAAATAAATTGACTGTATATTTTGTGGGCGAAACTAGGCAGCCAATTGCAATGATAATAACAATCACAACACTCATCTTTACATTTGATACAAACACGTTTTGGGTCAGGAGGACGCCTCAAAGCGCTTCACACGATTTACTGTAAAGTATAGTGACTATTTTGCAGGCAAACCCGGCAGCCAATTAACACAGAAACTCAGGTCATAGACAGGGATACTTCTGTGTAAACAAAATCTATTTTTAATCGTTTTGATGAAGGTTTTGTTCACAAAACTATAGTTGCAGAAATAAGCGTGATATTTTCTTGCCTGTGTTCTTATATGCACGTTTAGAAAGATCTACAATTTCAAACTAAACTGGAAGTTTGTGTGTGTGAGCGTATCTGTGGGTGTACGGATGGAGTGTGAGAGATTGAACGACTGTATATTGAAATAGACAAGAACAAGCCGGTGTCTGCTTCCTACAGGAAGAGCAGTGTGCATGGTGCAAACACAGAGCTCTGCTGAAGTCCCACACAATAACGTGGTTTGCACTTCACTGAGCACGAACGTGCCTTTCGTGACCCTCACCCTAACCCTTCAGGGACACAGATCTAATTTAAACAAACTGGAATGTACTTTCACAAGACACTGAGCAATTGCAGTCCAGTCTCTGATACAACGCTGCGATGCAAAGCCCCTGAAAGGCGTAATACGTTATTATCAGTTTCAAGTACTGTTAAAGTCACAATCTAAACTTTTGATGTTCCTATATTCTAATAGAGCAAAACACAAAAACAAGGCGACCCGCAGGCGGCAGCTTAGCAGTGATGGGAACTTGGCGTCTTGGATTAGGTTTGGAATAGCTGGGGAAAGATTTCCTAAGAGTTTCACAAGCTCAGGTTCCTTGGGTCAACTTT